AACACAAAATTTTACACATACGCCCATATATACCATGCCAATCCGTTTGTTTGGAAAACTTACTAGACGTATATTTAATACACCGTTAAAATTTAAGAGGTTTACGATATGATGGAAATCTTTCCATTATTAATAAAAAAATGCTTACAAAATACATCGCGAAAGCGAGATAAATTTATTAAGCCTTAATCTTTTAGCTATGCTCGTTCGTCTCTTGTCAAATGAAAGATTAATTAGATCATCAAACGTCCTTCTCCTTAGCATATATAATTATTTTCGTAATTTTACATATTTAATACCATATATACCATGCCAATATCGTTGGTACACGAAAGGTAAAGTACAGAAGAGAGAAGCTAGCGTCAGATCTGAGCGCTCACCTTTTTCATGGTCTCGTTCTGTGACGACAAGTCTGCAACTTTCCTTGCCAGTTCATCTCGAATCGCCTAGAAACAAATAGCAAACCAAATTAAACCAGCGAGCTTGAATTTTAGCAAGGGAGTTGCTTTTTGTTCTTGCATGCATGCACACTACTGGCGTGTAGCAGCTAGACTGAATTGTGAATTCTGCAGAGCTAGCTACCACCGGATCATGGCGCGCGAAGATGGAGATGGGCATCACATCACCTGACGGCGGAGGATGGTCTGCCGCGCCGACTCCCGGTTGGCGAGCACACGCCGCAGCCGCTTCTCCTCCTTCTCCGCCTGAAATTGAAATCAATTGTTGCACCCAGATGATCGACGACCCATCAGACAGCCGGCCGGCACAACCAATCGCACAACTAAAACTAACGGCAAGGACTAGTACGTCGCCGGCGGCTAGCTAGTTATTACCTCGGTGAGCATGTGCCGTGGCCTGGGCCCGTGATGAGCAGCACCGGGCGCCGGCGCCGGCGCCGACGGCGGGCGGCCGGCGCTGGAGCTGCTGGAGCAGGACGGCGACTGCTGGACCCCGACCCTGCCGAGCTGGAGGCTCAGCCTCGTGCTCGCCATCTCCTCGTCGTCGGTCATCTCCTGGGGCGTGTGCAGCCGCGCCGTTGCCTGCGCCTGCACGGCATTACTGCCTGCAGCCATGTCGGCCAGCGCCAGCGCCGCGCAGAGCTCGACGTCGGGCGTGATGCCCCGCCGGCATTGCCGCTGCCCGTCGCCGCCGCCGTCGGACATGGGATCCTACTAGCACCCGAAGAAGGGCAGGGTCGGTGGGTGGGATGGTGCCAGTCGTGTACGGCGGCGGGAGGGGTCGCGGTCGCGCTCATCAGATATACGAGTACTCCTACTCCTCCCTCCGGGCGCGCGGCGTCTGGCTGGCCCGTGCCGTGCCGCCAAGTCGCGGGCGCCACAGGACGTGGCCGGGGCGGGTACGCGTGGACGGAGAGGATCAGAGGACACGTGGGGTGCCTAGCTCTGCCTCCTCGTGCACGAATGCAGGGACCAGGTGATAGAAATTACAGGATATTTTGATAAATAACGAGTCCTAAATCATAAACTAGTACGGATTTAGAGGTAGAGAGAGGTTCGAAGATGCAAACCATCGGGTTTGAAGAAAAGGAGAAAACCATGTCATCGGTGTAGTGTCCCGGCGGCGGTGTCGAACGGTGCGGTGGAGGCGTTGTCACTGTGGCAGAACCGCCTAATCTAATGCCTCACAGGAGTGCTTGTCTTCCATTAGACACTAAACACTCAAGAAGAATACTAAATTACTCGGTTCCATCGGGCACACCTCAGGGGAGAACCCGAAACTCCATATTTTTGCCATCAGGATCACAAATGAGAGAATAAAACTTACATCATTTAACCATTTCTTTCATCACTTTACATGCGCATCAGAGTATAACATTTATTATTATAATAGCGGAATGTAATCATATTATCAGAGTTATGAATAATTTAATTGAACAGCGGAATATAAACATGTGAACAGAGTTACAGCGGAAATAAACATCAATTAATGACATGATGAAGTATTGATATGTAAACTATGACAACCGATTATGAAACTTTTATTTATAAAAGTATTTGTTGAGAGTTATAAATAACAACTACGATCACAGCATAAAAGAAATCATCGCTGAGCCCACCAGGAGGAATCCACACTCAAGAGTTAGCTTTAGCATCCACCTATCACCTGCAACAGGGGGAATAAAACCTGAGTATTCAATTGTACTCAGCAAGACTTAGCCGACAGAAGAAAAGAAAAGACTCCAAGAATATACAAGACTATTTGGCTTGTGGGTTTATTACATTTGTAGGAAAGCATTACTAAGCGTGCCTCCTTATATTCAATTTTTATTAATAGCCGCATTGGTTCATTAACTAACCATTCTATGCAAGCACCTGCGCTACTTTCAAGTAGGTGGTAAGCAATCAGATTTCCTTTTTTCATCTTCCATCTTTCAGTTCTTACTACGATGCTAAACACGAGACAAGCCGTACCGGATTGCCCGGCGATTAGCGAATCAATGCCCCCAGTTGGGTACCCCGAAAATATACGCCCCGCTTGTACTCAAGGCACAAGCAGAACCAACCCATCACTCTCCTGTCCTGGATGTCCAGGTCTTCGTCCAAACTAGGACTCCAAGCCGCCATCCCTGAGTCCCGGACTCAGTGCGGTGCAAGGACCTCCTCCACAAAAATAAAACCCTGACAGTCGGTCCGGAAAGAGCCGGATCCGCGACAAGATAGCAACAAGTCTTCCAAGTGCCCATACCCAAGCATGTGCTCGGGATAATAAGTCTGTGACTTACCTAGAGCCTTATGCAACGATCGGTCCTTAACCGACCAGACAAGGAAAAGCAGTGTAGCCAAGCTATGCCCCGTGTCCACGGCGATACAACCTCTTACACCCACCAATACCCAAACCATATCCCTATCCGGTCACCAATTTCCTTTCCACCATTTATATTTTTCAGGTGATAATAATTCAGTAATATATTTCCTATCTCTCGTGAGTGACAAGCAATCACTTGACTTCTATCGGAGTCCTATAGCATAGCAATCTACACGATCCTATCATACTAGTAAGACTCATAGGATAAAGATATATATATACAAGTGGGTTTCATTCAACTCCTTAAAACTTAATGCACCAATATAATTTAAACTATAGAAAAGTAGAGGTTATGCACCGGGTCTTGCTTGGGTAAGATATATATTAAAAAGTTAGTATCTACATCGTTAGATCATCCACCATCATTTGAATTGAAAGCCCATTGCATCATTTCCTAGAGAGAATACCATATGTAGATTTTCAATCATCCTTCAATTGATTCATTGATTTATCATCGTACCTATATGATATGCAATGCGATGCAATGCAAAGACATAATTAATCGACTGCAATCGTGACTCGTAAAGTACGATTTACGCCTCTCAAGTTAACGGCTAGTTCTAACGACGACCATACTTAGGCTACATATACACGTTGTCACATAAGACGTATTTCCCAACAATTCTTTTAGTTATATAAACCGAAGTCGTTTCTTTATCCTATTCCATCAATTTAATCTTTATTCGCAATAGGACATCATTATCTAATTAACAAACTAATTATTCTGGAACTACAAAAATTACAGTGAATACCTAATATTGCTAGGAACCTACTGTATAAATTTTAGATTCAATAATATTACCAATTTATCATGGAAATTTCTATAAGTTATATACTTTACAATATTAAGTACCTTAAATTAATTATATAGCTTCCAAGAATATTATCACACTATGTGAACAAAATATACTAACAGATAGATCATAATTTTAGGAGACTAACAAAACTTGTTTGGTATTTTTATGATTTTTCTATACTTTATTTTCAATTTTTGAAGAATACTAATTTAACAAAACAAACAACTCAACAGGAAAGGACCTGGGCGGCCATGCTTGGCTGTAGGCTGCCAAGTGGGCCCAACACGGCGTGGCAGCCTAAGCAAGCTACTAATAGCTAGCAGTTAGCTGCCCAATGCCGCCCGGCGGGCACGCGACCGCCCAATGGGCAAGCGAAGGGCCTGAGCAGCAGCAAGATGAGCGGCCCAACACGTCAAGGGTCAGTCCAAGCCGGTCCACAACAGAGGCGCGAAGTCGCCTGTGGTGATGGCGCGCAAAGATTTTCAAAAACGACCCCTACGCTTCTCCCTATTCAGCCCTAGGTCCATAGTATTGTTTAAATGAGTCATGTATTTCATAAAAACACCCCTGTATAATTCTTTTGTTTGGACTCTTACCCTTCACGTCATCCACAAAAGCAGAGCACCGCCCCGACACGTCGACCGACGGCGGCGGCAACAGCGCGGTGGGGCCGGAAAGGCACGACGGCAGCGGTCCACTAGCCGGTGAGCTGCACAGGGAGTCTGTTCGACCACGCCTGCCGCAGCAAGGCCCGAGCCGTCTCGGCGCAGCTGCCCCCACAAGAGCCGCAGAGGAGGGCACGCCGGCAGCAGCAGCGCTAGCCAGGCGAGGTCGGTAGGATGGTGCGCGGGGCTATGGCGACGTGCGTGTGGTGGCGTTGGAGGCTACGGTGGTGGTGGTGGGCTCGGGCTCACGTAGTATCACACGTAAGCGCAGCAGAATGAGACGAACGGCGCCGGAGGTTAGCGCCACACGCGTGTCAGGTAGGGCGGCAGCGGACCAGCAGCGGCCGGGGCCGAGGCGCGCTGCAGGCGCTGCGTGGTCTGCGCCAAAAGCGCGCATGGGGCACCGGCGATCATCAAGCAAGCAGTGCGGCACTGCATTTTAGAGCAGGGAGGTGGTGGCTGGGGAGGAAGAGACTAAGGTGGTGACTCGGCAGAAGCAAAGAAGCGCTTGGTTGGGGATGAAGCCAGGAAGCAAGGGGCCATTGTAGAGGCGAAACCAAAGAGCGAAATGACAATGACTTCCCTTGGAGGAGTACCTTGCCGAGATGATTTAAGATGGTCACTTTACGCAAAAGAAGGCTCATTATGAAAGGTCTTGCAAGAAGGTTGTCAAGGAGGTGACAACAGTGAAGGCATCAAGGATTAGGCGGCCATGAAGGACGAGGTGGCCATGAAGGCATGGTTCGAGGAATGGATCACAGAGTATGGCAAGAGATACAAAAACAAGGAGGAGAAGGCTCGGCGCTATGAATTGTTCAAGGCTTTTGCAAATATGGTGGGCAAGGCAATCGCAGAAGGTGGGGCCATCTTTGTCACAAACCAAACCACAGCTTGGACCGAGGAAGAGTGTTGTGTGTGTGTGTATATATATATGTATGTATGTATATATATATATATATATATATGTGTGTGTGTGTGTGTGTGCCGAAAAGTGATGGCCGCTGAGAACGTGCAATCACCATCCGTGCAAGTGCACCAGCTAGTGTGGCCATGACTGAAGGACGGGAGCGGGCCAACGAGGAAGCAAACTCTCGTGGTCATTTGCACGTCCAGTACAGCAGCAGTAGTACCAAGCAGAGAAACAAACACGCAGAGGTAGGCAAGGACACACAACGCAGAGACAGACAAGACCGAGGCAGGCGGAGGCAGGACATGTCGGTTGGCAACGACAAGGTCGAGACAGCAGAAACGTGAGTGACCCGACCAACATCATTTAAGGCAATCATCAGAGAAAGGATGCGATGGAGAGGGAGCAGTGGCACAATGACGGAACTCGATGATGCGGCGCGACGCAAATAAACCGGAGTTGATTGATTTCGAACAAGGGGGAATGCACTACTGACGACAAGCGACGGAGCAGGGCAGGGAGACGTCCTGTCATCGTTGTGGAGCCATTTGCACGCAAGTCAAACTAAACCAAGGCTTTCCAACTGAGCGTGCTTTTCAAAATAAACACATGAGCATATATATATATATATATATCGTTCTATTTATTAATGGATTTTATTTTATTTATAAAAGTTGCTTTTCTTGCTTAATCTAACGGAACATACCGTTTGCTGGCACCGTCATTCGTCATTCCTAAATATTTCTACGCACTGCGTAATTTAACTTGGGTGTTGATTCGAGTCCACGAAAATCTAGGTCACCGGATTCACTTATCGCATCAAGTATGTTTTAAATCGAAAATCCGAGAAACCCATTTTTAGAAATTTTACTTAGGTCTAAATTACGGTGCTAAATAAGGTTGTAACACCGGGTGTTACAACCAACCCCACTTAAAAAGAATCTCGTCCCGAGATTCGAAGCAAGACCAAAGGAGGGGAACACGATTACATTTCGTAGATCAGGGATTATACGAAAGGTTACATGACTTTGAATACTAAACCACACGGTGATCTAGGGATATATGGTTAAGAGCAACTTGGTACAACCGAGACCTACTCCAGAAGTCGGGATAGACGAGGACAATGGAGAAACAACAAGAAGATGATTATCCAAAACATGGCGTAGCACCAACAGATCCAGAAAACAGTCAACTGAGAAGTAAAACATCGTGAACCCTAAGATTGACTACCCCAAAAGGGAACTTGAACTTCTTCAATGAACGGATCCTTTCTTCTCCTCAGATTACACCATCACCTCAGACTGACGAACCTAGTTTCACAGTGTCGGCTGGATTTTGTAGCACCACGTCGGAATGCGAGGGGATGGGGATGAAGAAGAAAAGCAAGGACCAAGGGTATCTTATATAGCGACCAACGGAGGTGGGGCGCAACACACCGGAAGCGGAGGCGGCGGGGCTGGGATACACAAATGATGCATGCTGTGGAGATAAGGTCGAGACATGGTGCTCTTCCAACGCGAGCGGCGGAGGGGGAAATAAAGAAGAGTAGAGGGGGTCCGCTCGATGAGGCAGGCGTGTGGGCGGTCATGTCACCAAAAGAAGAAGGAAAGGAGAGGGAAGGGGGGGGGGGTTCGGTATGAGGAATGATGGTGCGGGGTAGAGAGCCGACCGGACACCAAGAAAAGAAAAAGCGCACAATGCACAAGGACGGCGAGTGCGGCACGATGCCGCGGCCACGCGAAAATGGGGTGCTAAAGGACCCGACACAGACGGCGTTCGCAGGGCACACATCGAAATGACCCAGCACGCATAGCGCGGTCAACTAAACACAGGGCTTGTGACATGACATCCACTCAGACCTTTCTATTACTCCTGACTGCCCGAGGCTAACTTTCCTTACTACTCTTCTTTTGCTTTCCTTTACTCGACCACATCCGTCTTTCGTGTAGACTGAGACCCCGTCATACTTTCTTCCTCCAAAACCACCTCCTCTTGGTTACTAGAGAGAACACTTCTGCGTCAACCCGTTGTGGATTTCCTGTTTGAACACCTGAACATTTCCAAGGGAAAAATTTTGTAGCAAAATTGGTATGGCGGTGTAACTTGGTAAAGGTACTTGGTTAACAACCTCGATACCAGCACGTGCCGAGCAGCATCACATGTGGCAGCTGTTCCACAGAGAGCCCTCGGTTTCGTTGCGGCACCATAAGCTATTAACCAGGCAACTACTATCAATTTACACGCCATGAAGGCGGTGGGGTCATAGACCATAGAGTAAGAGGGGTATTGCAAGGGAAAAATTCAAACAGCAAGGGTTCCCTTCACAACAAGGGACAAGGAATTCAATCCAACGGCGGATTGGGTTTAAAGAGATTCAAGTGTTCTGCTGGGACATCCACAATTAGTCGATGCAGTGTCCAAATTTATCCAATCACGGCTGATCTGCTAGTATCAGAATAGCAACTTCTCTTGTAATCCACCTAACATCGCCCTTTAATAACTTTAAGCACATCTAACAGAACTTAAGGTAGATGAACGCAATAAACACAGCGAATAAATAAAATGCATGTTCCAATGGTCTTATATGGGTGCATCATACAAGCATTCTGGCTCCCATGCACGATACAACATTCACCTTCCCTACTGGCGGTCGATCTCAACAACTACGGATGAACAACAATGGCAAGAATACAATATCGAAGGACAGTTACGAAAAACACTACTACTACAGGTACCGCATTCCAAGGCAACTAATCTATATCTTCTCGTGGCAATGGCTGAGTGAGAGGAATCAAGGGCTTGACTTCTGACACTTCCGAGGGTGGAGGTGCTGGCGGTGCTGCAACACCAGTTCTTATTCTTTCTGGCGTGTGGATAGGGATCCCTTCCAAGATCGGGGCATCCTGCCTTTCAGCAGCCAACATCCTCCTTGCTCGCCCTGGTGACAAGATAGGCCACCCGCAGCTGATGAACATGCCAATCTTCGGCCTCCTTTAGAGCTTACTCCATGGTAGCCTCTTGGCTCTCAACAGCTGCAGCGCTGGCATGCGCTTCGGCAAGCTACACCTAGAGCATCCGGTTGAAGATCTTGGCTTCCCCGTGTGCCGAATGCGCGCCCCTAGTTCCAAGGCTTGATGGTCATACTACTCATCCAGTGCGAGTAGGTACGTGGTCAAGTGCACTATGGTGGGATTGTCCTCTTGCGCATCCCACCCTTACAAAGCCTCCATGCTCCTCCATGCTCACCAATTCTTGTCCAAAGGAGGAAAGAACCGCATGGGGGTATGGGCAATGGGCTCCTCATAGATCTGGCAGAGGTACCGTAAGGCTTTGTGGGCCACAACCTGGTAGGTGTCGATGAAGCAAAACCCGATTGCGGTCACACTCTAGGCTTCAGTGATGTCGGGGAACTCTTCACTCTTCCAGATGTAGATGGTAACCTCATGCCTCTCGGTGCCATGCTCCTCATACTCACGACCCTCATACTCAGGACGATCTTTGACTCCAAGCTTTTGTAGGGTGGCATGCAGGATTTTGGGAAACCCTCAATGTTAAGGTAGTAACTACTAACCCAGGCTCCTACCATCTCTAGCGATGATTGCAAGGAAGGCTAAGCGAAAAGCTGGCTCAAAGGAAAAGCTAAGCGAGATAAAGTGCGCTGAGTGGTGATACCAATAGCTAAGTTGGGCTCTGCTTATAAAGGCGGAGCGCTCAGTGGTCCTGGCGCGGTTCACCAGGGTTCTCGCAAAGATCACTACGATGAATTGACCAAATTCCACGCGTTCGAGGCGAGCAACCTACGATGCCATTACTGACTAGTATGACCATAGCGCAAGGGTCCGACAAGAGCGCAGAAAAGGGGTATGGGGAGATGTGGGTCACGACCGGCGTGAACCACGGTGAACACGCGGAGCACGAAGCCACAGTGCAGACCTAACTCTAGAACAGGAACGAGTCAGTCGTGCACAATACGACACGCGTGACACCTATGGGTAGAGTATCTGCAAGCAATATGATACTATAATGCACAATCAGGATATGCATGAATCCACGTCCTATACATCCTTGCACTTGCTGCACATATAGGGCAACCATTCTTAGATTTTTGACACATCGTTCTTTCCCTATAACTAGTCGATACTATCGGACTATGCTCGAGTCAGTGTACCTGCAGAAAACTTGATTAAGCCTATCTAAGTCAGTAGAGTACCATCTATCCTGGATACATAACCATAGTAATATGGCTACTTATATAACTTTGCATACAAACGTCCTAACTTTTTGCAAAAATGGGTTGTCAATTTTTATTTTAGAAAATGTTTTCGAAGCCTTATTTTCTCATTTACGCTCTGATACCACCTGTGGCAGAACCGCCTAATTTAATGCCTCACAAGAGTGCTTGTCTTTCATTAGACACTAAACACTCAAGGGAGAACACTAAATTACTCGGTTTCGTCGGACACACCCCAGGGGAGAACCCGAAACTCCACATTTTTGCCATCAGGATCACAAATGAGAGAATAAAGCTTACATCATTTAACCATTTCTTTCATCACTTTACATGCGCATCAGAGTATAACATTTATTATTATAATAGCGGAATGTAATCATATTATCAGAGTTATGAATAATTTAATTGAACAGCGGAATATAAACATGTGAACAGAGTTACAGCGGAAATAAACATCTATTAATGACATGATGAAGTATTGATATGTAAACTATGACAGCCGATTATAAAACTTTTATTTATAAAAGCATTTGGTGAGAGTTATAAATAACAACTACGATCACAGCGTAAAAGAATCCTCGCTGAGCCCACCAGGAGGAATCCACACACAAGAGTCAGCTTTAGCATCTACCTATCACCTGCAACAGGGGGAATAAAAACCTGAGTACTCAATTGTACTCAGCAAGACTTAGCCGACAGAAGGAAAGAAAAGACTCCAAGGATATGTAAGGCTATTTGGCTTGTGAGTTTATTACATTTGCAGGAAAGCATTACTAAGCGTGCGTCCTTATATTTGATTTTTATTAATAGCCGCATTGGTTCATTAACTAATCATTCTATGTAAGCACATGTGCTACTTTCAAGCAGGTGGTAAGCAATCAGATTTTCTTTTTCCATCTTCCATCTTTCATCTTTC